GACATCCGAAGGGCCAGTGCCCTCCTCGGCAACAGCCCTGGCAGAGCCCAGTTTGATTTGCGAGCTGGGGTGCACCAGGAGCTGTGCTTCTAGTGCGGTGGGGAGGCTGCTGCTCTAGGCTGCCCCCCGCCCCCGGCTCCCCAGATTTCTTTTTTTTAATCACAGCACAATCCCAAAGACAACTCAGTGAAAGACCATCGGGGGCTTGCCTCGTCCTAGCCGGGAAACAGGAGTGTTTCAGCTGGACGGGGAAGGAAGCCTCCCTGGAGAAGAGTGGCCCCAGAGAGGGAAGGGGTGAGCGAGCCCGGGAGCAGGGGCTGCGCGGGTGCCACTGTGCTCAGGGGCTCAGGGGCTCCAGGGAGGCCCCCGCTGCCCCTCCCCCACCAGCGCCCTGACAAGGTCCCCTTGTTTAGATTAGCTTAATTACCCCACCGAAATCAATGAACAAGGACCTTTTTAAATGTGGAACTTTAAAAATGTGCTTCGAGTGGCCTCTTTTTATTTTTTTCCCAAGGTATCAAATGCTAAGCCTTCGTGAAATACTTTCAGTGAGCGAGCGGGAGATAGTGGGCCTTTTTAATGTGTGTGTGAAGGAAGCCTCGCGGCCCTAACATCAGGAGGAAGCTGGCCCTAGTCAACCTGACCCGTCTCCGCGGCGGGACCCACTAGTGCTGGCGCGTCCAGGGGGCTGACGGTATAGGAATTGGCTTCCGCGGCAAGTGACTTTTAAGGAGGTGTATTCAGAAGATGAAAATGCCCGCAGACTTCTCAGGCAGCGCCATAATCCACTACTGTTTTCCTGTCACTGAGTGTTTTCCTTTCCGACCAGCATCCGTTCACACGGGGGCCGCGGGCAGCAGCGCGTGGGCCTGGGCTCCACCTCTGCCACCAGGACGGCCTTGCTCGGAGGCTGGGCAGTGACTCGGTGAGGCCGAGGGGGGTGATGCAGCGCTCCGAGGTAGGAGGGGATGCTCAGAGCTCTGTGTGGCCCCTTTGGAGCCTCAGAAGGGAACAGGGTTTCTCCTCTTTCCAAGGGGCTGCGGTCAGCGTGGCAGGCCGCCTTCTCGGCAGCGAGTCTGGGACACCCCCGGAGCACGCTCGTTCTGCTGGGCATTTGCCCCCAGGTGCAGGAATGAGGGTGCTCGCTGCCCAGAGGCGGGGTCCCCTCCAGTGGGAGGCTTGGCAGGGCTGGTTCACGTTAGTGAGCCCGGCTCCCTTGCCCTCCTACCTCCTCTTGGCTGACGCCCAGGAGAGGGAAGCGTTGTTTAGGCCGAGGTCGTTGGTGTTTTCATCCTCCCAAACCTGTTGAAGGATTTTGCTGGCAGTGAGGAAAACTGCATTCCTGAGCCAGTGCCAGTGCCGCCCCAGAGGCGCTTCTTTCTGCTGTGCGGAGAGGGCCTTCCCACCCGGGCCTGGGGGCCCGCCAGCTGTTGGGCTTGCCTGGAGGGGCTCTCTGGGGTCCTGCCTGGGAGTCCTCAGATGGTCACATTGGCCGCCAACCTAATTCTTCCCTTTTCAGAGAAAGAGTAATCTCGGGCACCCTTTAAGCAGATAAGGAGGGCTCGGCCGGGCGGCATGGCCAGGCCTCCGCAGGTGCGGCCCTGTGGCGCGTTGAACCAACTCCGCAGCTCCCGGCCGCTGACTCTCAGCTGTTGTTTTAGGGAAATAATGTAGCGTGTTCTTGGCTTGGAATGGAAAGGGGATAGTTTTCTGTCAGTTCCTTTGAGTTATTTTGACATCTCCACGAGAGGCGAGCTCGTCTGTCCGGATGCCTTTTTAAAGCATGTTTGTGTTTTGTAAAATAACTTTGAAAAACCGTGGGCACGTTTTCAAGTTGACGGTGAAACTTTTTCGTGCTACTTTTGAGTAACTGGAAGGGATGTAATTGCTAGTGTAGTGTAAGTAACTGTTCTGTTGCGCTCGTAAAGGCGTCCCGGGGAAACACTACCTGCCACTCTCTAAGACCGTGCAGGCGTGGCCTGCTCAGTGCCTGCGGCGGCTGAATGGCGGGAAGTCTCGCGTCCTCTTCTCGTAAGCTTGTGTGCGCCCCACGGCTTCGTGCAGGGGTGCTCTGCGCCTGGGTCTCACTGACCATCTCACACGTCTCTGTGACAAAAGTATGTATAGAAACTACAATTTTAACACCTTTTGGTGATCAGAAAGCTGCGTTAAGTCAATTCCAAGAAATTTTTTTTGGTCATTGTAATTGTCAACTCAAAATCAGACGATTGCCTCATTGCTCTTAATAATTAATTAATGAATGCACAAAATAAAAGTACAGTGGAAAGGTGTGTCTCAACGAGCTGGGTGGGGACTTCAAAGTGCCTCAGTGAAAGAAATTATTGAACTGTCCTCGGAGGCAGGTATGTTCTTGCCACTAGAACATTCCATGAGGGGTGTGCCTCACTGTCTGGGGGGAGGGAGGTGGTGAAGGAGACCTTGTGGGGGCACTGTGGGCGCAGACTTGTCCCCTGGGCACCTCTCTGCCAGTTGCACTTTACTAATGTGCACAGGTGCAGACGGCGCACTGGGCGCCGCGTGCAGTCAAGTCGCCCGCCCGAGAGCCCCGGGACGCCGCTGTGATTGCGCACATGTTTTAGGGGGCCTCTTCCCCGTGTGTGGCTGGAGGGGTGAAGCACCTGCCACTTCATTAAGTTAGGACATCAGTATTTTTTAGACTAACTGTGTTAAAGGGCAAGAGATGTAATGTTTCTTAAAGGTACGTGGGCAGTGGCAATATGTTTTTATTTGGTGGGGTTAAAATTTAAGCCCGTGGAATGGTGCCTTGAGTTAAATTTTAATTTTGCAGGAAGAGGTGTTAGAAGCAAAAAGTCTGGGCTTTCGATGCTACAGCACTCACCGCAGGGATGCAGCCAGCCTGCGGCGCCGCAGTGAGCCAGGAGTCCTGCCTCGCCGGGTGGGGGACAGGCATGTGTGTGTGTGTGTGTGTGTGTGCGTGCGTGTGCCCGAGCGCGCACGCGCGCAGAGGTGATGCCAGTTCCCAGGAGCCTGCTCAGATGTCGTGTTTGAAAGCACTGGCTGGGCCTAGCAAGTAAGCTGGAGACACACGCTCTCAGAATATGAAGTTACTATTGAAAGTCAATGGAAATTTGATTGAAAATAAGCAGCAATTGAAAAACAACATATTGCTTCATTTTCACCCAGGAATAGAAAGTGCTTCGGGGCGAGAGCTGTAGAACTTGGTATCAGGCGATCGTGTTATGACGTAACTGGGAAATTCTAAGTAAGTAGGGGCTGGGGCTTAATCCAGTTTTGTGGGGGAAGAGAGAGGGCCCTGGCCAAGCCATTGGATTTTGGTGCCTGGATCAGCTGCAGTTCTCACCTGGTCGCCGTCCTCAGACAAGGCCCCTTAAGGAGGCTGCGCCTCGGATTTGGACTTGAGTATGTTTGGGGACAGGACGCCTCAGCGGGTCGCTGGCACTGCCTCCATTCCTAGGGGTCAGCGAAGATAGGCGCCAGTCCAAGCGCATGGTCTGGGAATCGCGCGGTCAGCTGGGCGGTGGTGAGCCGGCGGGCCAGGCTGCAGGGTCCTGTGGCAGGGCGGGCCCCCCCCAGGGCGCACAGCAGCCTCTCGTTACACCTTGCCATTTTGGGCGATGATCCAGAAATCCAGGTTGCCGGTTCTTAAGCACCGTGGAGAACGGGACCTCCAGGGCTGTTGGAGGAATCCCGTCCTCACCTGGGGCTTCAGTCCAGTATGCAGACCTACCCCAGAGAAGCCCGAGAGTGGGGTGCTAGAACCAGGGAGCGGTTTGTGTTGCTCCTATGAAACAGTTCGCATCAGAAGTTGCGGTGGGAGCCCTCCCCTCAGCCCTGCACACCACCACCCTCTGCTGGATGGAGCCGGATCTGGGACCGGGAGGAATGCCCTTGTGAGGCCGTTGTGAGTGCTGCCTGCGTCTGCCGGCAGGACCCTGGGCGCCCCGTGGGACGGCGGGGAAGCGGACAGAACTTGGGGCTGTTCAGAACTTGTCCAGCTCGTCCCCGAATTATTCAGATGTCTAAAGTGTTTTTAATTCTTAAGAGGAAGGGCGGGGCCTGGCCCTTGATTCTTCAGCAGGACATTTTCTTCCCAGCCTGGGCCCTCCCCGGTTCAGACCGTGACTAGGAAGCTGCCCGCTGCTCGGCTCTGCGGCGGCTGTGTTATAACCTGGGAGTGCCCTGGGCTTTGTCCCTGGCACTGCGCAGGCCCCGGGAAAGGACACACGGAGGGCGGGGCCTGTGCCCAGTCCTCAGCCAGGCTCCCTGACACAGCCCTGGGCGGGCTGCCCGGTGGTGCTTTCTGGACTTTATAGACAAGGGAAAGGCAGCCCGGGGAGGTTCAGTGACTTGTCCAAAGCCCCCCAGCCGGTGGCCAAGCCTGGGTGTGAATCCAGGGTCCGGCTCTGGGCTACCCCTGCTTAGAAGTGGAAAGTGGCAATCTTAGGGTTCTGCTCTGGGGTGTTGCTGGAAGGGAGGTGGGCCTGCGTGCGCACACCCTGCCCCCCGGGGGGAGGCGACACCACCTAGGGTCCATTTGGTTCTTGGTGCTGGTCGTTGGGCTCGCGGGCGTTCTTTGGGGCCCACTTCGATCTTGGCGTCAGCCGCCGTCCTTTGGCCAAGAGTGGCTGTGGAAGGGACGGGGCCGTCTGGACCACAGACAGGCGCTGGCCCTGCAGGAGGTGTGCAGGCGGGGCCTGGGCGCTGGGGCAGGCCAGGGGTGACCAGGGTGCACGGTGCTTTGAGAAAGTGTTCACTGAGGATGTTTTCAAGCACCAGAAGAAAAGAAGTAAGTAGTACAGCGGCCCCGCCCCCCGCTACTGCTCTCCCTGGCACCCGTCACCCACTTCTGCAGTTGGAGTTTTATCAGTCTTTGAAGCAACTTGGAAAGGACACACAGGAACGGGGATGGGGAGAGCGTCCAGAAGCCAGGGAGACGTCTGAGGCAGGGCGGGGGGCAGGGCCGTGTCTGGGGGGGCGGGGGTTCTGTGGGACCCAGGGTGATGCACCTCTCTCTGTGTGCAGAGCTGGGGTACAGGGGCATTGAGCACATATGTGCTTCAGCAATATTGGGGTGTCGTTTTTCTCTGCAGGGCTGCCCGTGTGCAAGTGTGGAAAACACTAGTATTCCACAAAATGAAGCGACGTTGAACACTCATCAAACGTTGCAGAAAACGGCAACTGTCTTTTCAACAGTGAGCCGGCCAGTGGCGGTTCCACTACTGACCGAGCTGCTCCCGGGCCATGGCTGGAGCGCCCGCTGCCCGAGTCCTGGCCTTGGCCGCCCGCCGCCGGTTATCTGTCCTGGCTAATTCCTGACGGTTTGAGCCACCGTGTCACCGCGGGGCTGGGGGCTGATAAGCGCCGGGGATGGCGTCGGTTTGCGGCTGTGGGGTTCAGCAGGTATCTGATTAAGTCCTGTGTCTGCAGAGTCTGGAAGCGCTGCGGATGTGCCCCGGGGGCTGCCGGACTGTGGTGCCATGTTGGAAGCTACTTTCTGACACTTTGAATGTGGGTTTTCTCGTGGTTTGTCAGAATCTGTCCACAGAGGGGTTGGGTCCCGCCCACCCTTCAGGCCTGGTCTGGGCCCCCAGCCCCCTCATGCTTCTGAGCCAGAGGGCTCCCCTGAGGGCTGGGGGTGTCCCTTCCCTTCTGTGGTGCCTCTTCCACACCTGCGGGAGTCCGGGGTGCTCCGGACAGTAGCTGCCCAGCCACTCAGCTCTGATGTCCCCTAAGGAGGCTGTGCGGGAGGAGCCTGGGGGGCTTCTGTGTGGCCACGCAAGCCGGGCATATTCCCAGTGGAGTGTGGTGAACTTGGGGGTTCTAGTTATGGGGTCCTGATGGGTCGGTCACTATTAGCACAGGGTAGTGCCTTGGAGTGCTGGGGTCCTGCCACCCCCTCCCCCTAAGTGTCTGTGAGACCTCATAACCCACAGGGGCCCGGCTCCTGTGGGTTCATGGGTGCCCGCCACGTGGCAGCAGCAGTGGTATCTCCATTTTATCGACGAGAAGTGGGGACCTCCGGGAGCTGGTGTGGGCTCTGACTGCACGTCTCTGCGGGCACACGCGTATGGGGAAATGGGGGTGCACGAGCTGTTTGGCCTCAGCGGGAGGCGCTGGCTTCAGAAGGACGCCCACGTGGGGGCTCAGCCTGGTCATCAGCTGCATGGGGTTACCGCGGAGGGCCCCTTGGAGGGGAGGCGCATGTCGGCTCAGGAGGAAGCAGTGAGCCTGTGGGGTGGAGGCGGAGGTGGGGTGCTGCTTTGCGTGGGCCCTCTCCCACCGCGCCTGTTTGAGCAGCGATGGCCCCTCAGCAGCGGGGTGACTGCGTGGAGGCAAGTCGCAGCTGCCTGCTTGAGGTCTGTTGGGTCCCCGGTTTTCTGGATACCCCCGGGTGTCCCAGACCAACTGCTTTGTCTTGGATGCCATCCCATGAAGGCAGGTGGAGGGGACCTGAGAGAGTTCTTGGTCGGCCTGTCGTGTGCTGGTGCCGTGGCTCACACGTCTCCTTCTGACAACCTTAAACAGGCCCTGATGAGTTACCGCCTTTGAGGAGCAGATCCCGGGTCTTGCTGGCAGAATCAAGGGCTGGCGTGGTTCTACCTGTGGGACGTCTGGAGCGTGCCCTGCAGTTGGCCGCGCCCCCAGCCTTTGCAGGTGAGAGGCTGAGTCGGGCAGCGCCCGGGCCCTGCTGGGGCCCTCCCCCTTGGCCAGCGGGAGCCACCTGTGCGCGCAACAGCTGGCGCAGCAGCAACCTGGTGCCCTGCTCTGCTGAGCCTCCTGGGTCCCTTACCCGCCCTCTCTGGCCCTTTCTCCTCAGCGGCCTGAGGCTGCTGGTCACAGAATTAAGCAGGGAGATCCGGGGCTCAGCTGGTCCCTGAGAGGCCCTCGGTGCAGGGTGACTTGGAGTCCACTCATCTCTGCAGCCCTGCCCCTGGCAGCGTCTGGCACCCGCAGATTCCTGGGTGCCTTCAGGGTCTTCCTGGCAACTCCCCACTCTCCTGGCATCTCGAGCCAGGGCCCTTGGGGCACCCGCTCACCCTGAGTGTGCTGTGTAGGTGTCGCGTGCTCACTGCCACCCTGGGTGTTCCTGTCACGCCCATGACACCATGATACCCCACCGCTGCCCCTCAGGACTGGATGTTCAGGGCTGCTGGAGGCTCGTGGCCCCCCCACTCCTGCTCTGCCCATGCCCCACGTGGTTGCCGGGTGGCAGGGCCCAGGGCCAGCGGAAGCGCACCGCTCCCTGCCTCGCGAGCCCTTGACCTCTGGGCCCTGAGCAGCACCTGGACTTTCAAGAGCAGCGTCGGTCTCTGCAGCCCCAGCGGGGCCCTGCCCCGTAGCCTGGGGTTGCCCTGGCCCAGTTTCTCTTTCTGCCACGAGCTGGCCTTAAACAAGCCAGGATTTCTTGGCCTTTTCCAAACCCTTCTATTTTTCTGCAGGTTTTCACCCCAGAATATCTTGTCTAGATTCACCTTTTCTCCACACACCCTGCCCCCCACCCTGGGCCCCGAGGATGACCCCGAGGCCTGTAGGTGTCCCTGTGAGGCTCCGAGGCCCCACCCGCCTTTCGTCTCTGCGCTCTGCTGGCGGGAGGGCGGCTCTCTTGCACCTCTGCCTCACGCAGAGTTGCCCCAAGTCCCGTCTCCTCTGCAGCTTCCCGAGACCGCGTCTGTGGGCGTCTTGACACTGTGCGATGACTCATTTGTGGTCAGGGCCCTTAGGGCTCACAGGCCTCTTGCTTGAGTGCCGTGGAGGCCGAATCCTGTACAGGGCCCGCTCTCTTGCACTGTGACTCTGTTTCAAGGCTGATGGTTCTGGTCTTGATTTCATGACAAATGGATCAAGAGCTCCTCTGAGTTGATCCTTCTAGGTGGTGGTTTTGTCATCGACAGCCCTGGGGCTGTGGTGGCTGCCTGCCCCCGTGGCAGTATCACAGAGGGAGCCTGGTCACGGGTCCATCACACACTGGTGGTGCCAGGAGGCAGACGGCACCTGCAAGTAGAGAGGGTCAGGAGTGGGGTGAGCAGGCTGGAGAGACCCCAGAAGGGGTGATACCCCACCTGGGCCTGGCTGCAGCAGGGAATCTGCGCGGGGGATGGGCCTAGGAGGCCTGTGGCGAGAGCTGGCCTTCCGTGCAGGGCTGGTCTGTGGCTAGTGGGCACTGTGCAGGCTTTGCCGCTGTCCTGCCCAGCCACATATACACCTGGATGCCCCCCACTGCCTGGCATGGTTCCCCGTTTGGTGGGGGCTGACAGCTCCCTGGGAGTCTTGGCGAGGTGACAGAAGGAAGAAACCCTGGGTTGGCCGGGTAGCTGGGAAACCCAGGCCTGGCAGATCCAGGGCACAGCTGTGACCCTGCCCCCTCCTTTCCGGGGGCTGGGGACGGCTACACATTTCTGGGGCGTCCTGGAAGCACCCTGAGGGCAGGCAGAGGCCTGAGGCCCCAGGGTGCTATGGGGGCTGGGTGAGCAGGCGCGTCTCACAGCCCTGCCCGCGTCGTGCCGCCTCTAGAGCCAGACCCAGGTAGAGCTTGGTGGCTTTCTGGGCCCGCGGGAGGGCCTGGGAGGCAGCCGTGCCCGACCCCACTTCCTTGCAGCGTGCAGCTCGGACTGAGGTGCTGTCTGGAGCCCGGCCCGTGTTGTGGTTATGAAACATGAAACCGGTGTTTTGCTGACCTGTTTTTTCTCGCTCAGTCTTTCTTCAGCTCATGTGTCCCGGGTTACTTTTCAAAATGAATGAGCTAATCCCACATGGCTAAGGGGCAAAACAAGCTCATTATCACCCCGTTGAGCCAGGCCAGAGACACTGCGGCCCGGCTGGGGGCTGCTCCCCTCAGGGTCAGGTCCAGAAACGGTGCTGTGGTCCGGCCTTCTGACCTCACCCGGCATCTGATGGGCTCCCGGAAATTCTGAGCTCTGTAGTACCCGGGGTGCCATACAGACATCCCCGAACGAGGGTCCGTCTTTGTGTCTTCATCCACGATTGTTTTTGGTAGAAACGTGAAAATTGCTCAACTTTGAAGGAAACTACAAAAGGAGGGACAGGGACCGACTTTGAACAATTATGAAAGATTATGTAATGAGCAGCTCACCACAGAAACTCTTTAACCAGCTGGTGTCCGTGTTCCTGTCGCCCTCCACGCCTCTGCCAGTGGGGGTGGTCTTGACCTTTTTGGCCTTGAGTTCCTGTGCTCCCGTGAAAGCTTTGGCGCTCCAGCCCAGAAGACACAGACACCACTCTCTGTGCTCCCGAGCCACACACCCACCAGGGAGGGTGCCCGCCCAGGGACCTCCTTCTGGAGCCTGGGCCGCTGCTGCCTCCTGGTGGGCCGCCCTGCCTGTCTCTGGAACTCCAGGGCCGCAGCCAGACCCCAGGGAACCTGAACCTCTGCCTTTGGCACGAAGCAGGTGGCTGGGGCGGGCCCCTAGGAGGAGCAGCAGGAGCATGGCCGGGTCAGGCAGGCCCAGCGGGGCAGGCTCTCATGTCCTCGCGGTGTGGCCGAGGGTGGTGGCTGCACCTGTTGCACTCAGCATCTGAGCACCTGCCCTGCAGGAGGCCATCGTGAGTGTCCGTAGAGCTCGGCCGTGGTGGTGACACTGGGCGCTCCCCCTTGCGGGGACACATACAGTAGCTAAAATTAGCAGTAGGAGCCAGCCTTGGAAAAGCCAAGGTTGTCCAGAGGAGTTAGGCAATGTCATCTGGAGATAAGAGAGTCTGGGAGCAGCAGGGCAGAATCCCGACCGCATCGCAGCTGAGGGGGGAGCGTCAGCCTGGAGCTGCCCGCTGGACCGTCCGTGTCTGTCCCGGAGGAGGGCCTCTGGGCGGGGTCCCTGCGTCTGTGCCTGTGGGTAGTTCTGTAGCCAGACGCGCTCCCTGGCTCGGTCAGGAATACCTGCCCTGAGTGCGTGAGGCGGTGTCATGTCACGGTGTAGCAGACGTGCTCGCATGTGCTGCTGTAAATAGGACAGAGGTCTTGTTTACAATGCTGTGTGTGCGTATTGCACGCGTCACTGCACACGTGTGACGCATCACGCACGATACAGCACACGTCATGTCATTCGTATTTTGCCTATGTGAAGTTTGGCGGGGGGGTCCTAGCTGTCAGGACCCAGTGCCCCCGGCTCATCTTCACTGATAGGACCAGGGACGTGAGTTTTGAAGCAAGAGCGTGACCCAGGCTCCGAAGCTGCGGTCCCCTGGCCAGGAGCCCCCTGGGCCCTTCTGTGCTGGGACAGAGACCAGGCGGGGCTGGCTCTGGACTTGGAGGAGTTGGGGCCTGGCGAGGGGTGGGCTGTCTGCCCTGAGTCTGTTTCCCGGGTAGAGCTGGAGGGCCCGGGCTGTCCGCCTGTCTGCAGAGCCACAGCCTTGGGGACAGCGAGGTCTCCTGGCCCGGGACCTCTCAGCTCCTCTGAGTCTGGGCGCCCGATCCAGCCCAGCACGCCGCTCCTGAAGTCGGCCGCTGGCTGCGGGAGGCCAGTCAAGCTCTTCTGAGCCGGGAAAAACCCAGATCCCGGCCATTTACAAAATCTCCTCCCCACACTCTTCGGATCAAGAGCGTGTCTCGGGTTTGAGCGGTTCCTGGTAGTTCTCGGCGGCCTGTGGCCCGCTGGCAGCCCCTGAAGCTAGAACCCTGTCTCACCGGGAAGCCCCGAGTCGCGCGCCACTTGACGCACGGGCCCCTCCGTGCGCGGAGGCGAAGTCAAGGGCCTTCACGCCGGGGGCTTTTATCAGGCCAGGCTTTCATCCCCGCCTTAAGAGCGCAGCCACAAGCCTGGTGCCCCGCTCTGCCACCCTGCAGTGCCATGTTCTCACCACACGCCCAGAGCCTGTGCGCCGCGCTCGCTCTGCCCCGCCCCCAGCTGGTGCTCCGGGCCTGCCCCGCCAGCGTCCCCACCTGTGGCCGGCTGCCCCGAACGAGAAGAAGGTTCCCCCCAGAGCTCAAGAGCGGGGCTGCCCCTGCCCCGCCTCTCCCTAGCTGGGCGGGTGGGGAGGGAAATGAGCTGGAGGAGCGGGCCCTCCTGCCGTCTGCCCAGCGGCTGTGAGCCTCCCTCCCTCTTCCTGGCAGAGTGACTTAGCTTTTGTGCCTCAGTTTCCTCGGCTGTAACTTGGGGCTGACAGCCGCCTCCTTGGGGTGGTGAGGAACTAGAGGTCAGTATATGCAAAGCGCCTAGCATGGCAGTTGCCTCCTGGGAAGCGTTTTAACGCGTGTCAGCTGCAGTCGCGGCCACACACAGCCAGTGGGGAGCACTGGCAAAGGGGAGACTGCTGTTCCTGAGCCGCAGGGACGCGCGCCAGTCGGGGAGGTGGGGGCTTTCTGGAGCGATCCCCTGTGCTGGGTGTCGGGTAATCTGCTGTCAGGGTGAGTGCCTCGACTAATGGGGGCAGAGCCTGCACCCCAGACTGTAGGCCTACCAGCCTGCTTGCAGCCGGCACGCCGGCGGCTCAGAGGGAGACCGCACTGGGCTGCTGGGTGGGGGAGTCCTCTGGAGGCCCCTCTTGGCTGCTTATCTGCCAGGGAGGGTTGCACGCAGGTGAAGCGCGTAAGAGCGAGGATGCTGGGGGTCCTCACTCACCATGGGGCCTCCTGGGGCAGGGATTTCGGGACTCGTGAGCGGCTGGCTGGCCTGGAGGAAGGAGGTTGAGATGTGGTCTGA